ATGTGACGTCATGCTCAGTACATAAACTGGGGGAAAGCTGGCTGGGGGGGCTGCTGCTCGGGGACTGGCTGGGCATCACTCGGCAGGTGGTGAGCAATTGCACTGTGCATCATTTGCTTTGTGTATTATTATTATTATTATTATTATTATTATTATTATTATATTTCAATTATTAAACTGTTTTTGTTTCAACTCACAAGTTTTTCTCACTTCTACTGTTCCAATTCTCTCCCCCATCCCACCGGGGGCATGGGGAGGAGTGAGCGAGTGGCTGTGTGGTACTCAGTTGCCGACTGAGGTTAAACCACAACAACAACAGTGTTCCTCAGTGGTGCCCAGAAGTCTGTGGACCACATCTTTGGTGTCTGTAGGATAAAAATTGTGGAATTTCTGAAAGGATTTTGTGGGCAGCTACATATGTGGGCTGTTTGGCGTGTATGGCTGCTAGCTTTCCCTTTAATTTTACTGCAAATTCCTGCTTTCCCAGAGGGCCACAGAATTTTCTATGACCTTTCCTTCCTTTATGTGTCCATAGGAGGCATAGACAGATGCTAAATATAGATCTTTACATGTAGAAAATTCTCATATGGGGATTGTGCTGCAAAATGAGTGTAGTAGTGTTCCTAAATAATATTATTAATATTCAGAGAGAGAAAATCTAATCAAGTTAATTATCTGCAGTGTTCTCATACTGATTAGGAATATATAGGACCTCTTCTAGGAAGGGTATCAGCTTCTATTGTGATTAAAAATAAAAATCACTGTGGCTTATGTTGTTTTTAAGCAGGGAAATAGCAGCTTCTTTAGTTCAACTTAAAAAAAAAAACCTTTGCAAGAACTGTGTTTCTGAAAAATCGTAACAATTTTTATTAACATAAATACTTAAGATCGAATATGAAAGGAATAAGTGAAATAAATTTCTATTTAGATTGATCCATCTGTATGTACAGCCTCTGCAATTGTCATTTGGGAAATAAAGAATCAAAAATGTTTAACAGAAACAAGCTGAGACTGTTGAAAAAGGACAGGAAAAAAAAGCCAAGAAAAGTATTTTTGGAGCTCAGAAAATACAAGAGTGAAGTATAATAGCTAAGAGTAAAAATTTCTTTAGCTTTAGAAATAAGATGAAAACAAAGGAAGAGTGGAGCTGCCATGCAGAAAGAACTGGTCAAGATAAATGATCTTTTTCAGTTTGGATCCAAAAATTTCAGACAGCATTTGACATGGGTTGGCTGGCTGTTAGAAAAGGAGGAGATGGCAGTAAAATGACCAAATTCAAAACGAAGGCAAGAGTTGAAGTGCTTTATCTGTGCAAATAAGAGGCTGCCATAATTTCCATCCTAGAAAGCTGAAATGGTAAATGGTGAAATGGGTATGGTAGATCCAGTCTTTCTGTGAATCTTACCAGGTGGGTGGTTGTACTATAGCAAACACAGCAACAGTATTCAAGAAAGGCTAAAAATGGTTCAAATGGACAAGAGGTCTGATAGTCAGATTTCAGAGCTATGCAAGGCTTAGAACAATATTTGCAGGAAAGAATAATTACAGACTTGGAGCTAAGTGGAAAATTGGATAAAATGCAATACAATGGTGTATCATGTCAGACTAACTTAATAATGCTATTTAATCAGATAATTTTTGTTTTTCTGACGAAAAAACAGTGGATCTAATTTTTTTTTTCTTTAGTCAAGCATTTGATATGATACAGCAGTGGGAATTTATTACTTAAACTGTTTCAGTGTAAAAATTATATTAGTGTGTAAGGAACTAATTGAAGAGGTGCAGCAGGTCATGCTGAAAGATTAAACTATTAGTGTGGAAGGCAGTGACAGCTAACTTCTGAAGAATTAGTTTTAGTAAATGGCTTTATTATTGAATGACAAAAAATAGGATTATAGTAATGAAACTTGTTGATAAGAAATTAGGAGGTATTGTTACTCTAGAAATAGATAAGGATATACACAAAGAACAAGGTGACTTTGAGTAATAGAAATGGGATGGTGTTTAATATGCAAGATCATATGCTTACAAACTAATACAATGGATCATTTTCAATACTGGTGGTTGATTCAGGACTTCAGAAATATTGATTTGATTAGAAGCGTGGTATGGAGAGGATACACCCTGGGTTTGTTGCTGTTCCAGCCTTACTATATGTTTCCCATCTGTGTGGAAAACACCACTGGAAGTATTTGTGAATCTTATTGTCTGGCTTTGGACATAGTTCCAGGTAGATGAATTTAAATGCAAGAGATACAGAGGAAGACTCTGTCATTAATTGCATTTAGCGAGAGTGATGGCACTAAGTGGTTCTGTATTCATTTCACCAAGCTCTTCATGGACTGAAGAGTTGAGTTGACTCTGATGCAGTAAATCTGTATCTTCATGTTTTCAGTTTGATTGAAATGGCACGCAGAGTTCAGCCTTAAAATTTTTTAAAAATATCTTGAGCAGACTGCGTAAAGCTGTTTGAGACATTTTGTTCTTGGTTGATGAAAATAGTAACGTATCAAAGGGAGCCATGGATAAGATTTGGCTGAAGCTTGGTGTTCTTTAGGTAAATCTCCTCTGTTCCTATTTCATTTGTTTGGAAGAGTAAGTCCTTTTCTAGAGTTTTTCTTTTTTTTTTTTTTTTTTTTCTTTTTTTTTCCTCTCAACAGTTCGGGGACCCCCAAGTTTTTCCAGTTTCCATAACATCTCTAACAT